CACTTTCACACTGAGCAGACTCAATTATTCTTTAAGCAAACTTGGTCCACATCTAAAGCAGCATCTTCTGACGTAGTCGAGAAAGGAAGCAAAAAGGAAATCTGATGCTGAACACACACAGCATTATACTTTTGAAATAGAAATTAGGCGTTAAAAAAGTTAGTGATTATTATTCCATCCACGACATCAGCTCAGTTGAGATATACGCGAAAATGTGCTCAAGAATCCATCTCTATTGTATCCATCATTGCTGACAGCCACCAAGTAGGGCCAGGGTAAAGGCAAAGCGGGAGCCTTGAGGGCCCAGTAGAAAGTTCAATGAGCCCGCGAAAAAGGTTTCACAGATTCGAAGCCTCATCAGGTTCCAAGCGATTCTCGTATCTCAGATCCATGTAATTATACGTCACATCCTGATTCAATGTATTCTAAAACTGTTATGTGTTTGTCAATTACACAAGTGAATCGATATTTCAGTCCAAATTTTATTCAATTTCAATTAAGAAAACAGATGAACAACATTTTTATTGTTAAAGATAGTCTCAATGATTTTTGTCTTTATTTGTTCATATATCAAATATATCATTGAAATTGATGGACTGATGTCTTACCTAAGATCCTGAATAAAAAAAGAATGGTGATAAAAGACTCAATCGACTGCACAGAATACCATTAATGCTTCTTCGCAGAAAGAAAATTTTTCTCACAGTCTCTTTCATTTCTTGAATCAACAAGTGATTGTTTCTAATTGAAAGCCCTTATTGCAAATTGTACGAAGAAAATTCCAAGAATTTGAATATTTGAGTTAAGGTGATTTTATTTGATACCAATATAATTACTGGTTTCGAATTGGTGTCCTAATTGTATTCAAAGGATATACATTCCATTAGAATTATTAAAGCATTTCCCGAGCTATACCGAAGCCGTATTCATTTTGCACCAGTACGAGGTTTTTTTCCTTTCAGGCAAACGTGTTAACGTCAATCTTTATCGCGAAAACAAAGAGTACGCTCTGCAGGTAGTACATATGATTTTTGTAAAGAGTGAAATATTTGCATAATTCACCTTGTATTATTCCTTGCTATAACTCGGTGTCGGATTCTGAAAGTAAATTTATCGAAGCAACTTTCTCTTTCGATTTGTCGCTCAGAATAAATGCAAACTCAAGGTGAAATAGATCAAAAGTTTTAGAATGGTTATAAATTACATCACGCTTATTCAGGTGTCGATCCGTTTCAATGAAGGTGCTATTGTTCGCAACGCAATGAACAACAACGTATGGGGTAAGGAGGAACGCGAAGGCGATATGCCGATTAGCAAAGGCGAAGTGTAAGTCCGCTTATCATCAGTGATTACTTCTTGCACATCTATGCCATCATTATTCGAAGTATCCACTATTTTCGTCCCAAGAAAGCTTACCTCTATTCACCCCATCTGAGTGGCTTAAATTAGTTCATTAAAAAAAACGGTCCTCACCTCGAATTCTACGAAAGGATGCTCATAATCTGTGGCTTATTCAGCCCTACAAAACACGCTGTCATTAGATGAAGGTAGCGCTCAAAATTCTAAGCAGTTTCCAGTGCATGTCCGACCTTTGCCTAGAAACATCATGCCCTTAGATATTTTGAAAATGAGCAAATTCACGCAATTCATATTTTTAGTGTTGGAGTAGTAACTTCATTGCCGGGTACTATTATTACATCTCCAACTGAGTTTCCGAACTTGATCTAGATAAAAATTTCCCCACAAAACAATTTTTTGCCTATTTTTTACCTATTATTTTTTACCTATTTTCTTTACCTATTTCTATGAAATTTGTTGCACATCGTTTGGTATATTTTTGCGCATACTTGTCCAACAATGGAGCCTTTGTGGGAGGTCATTCGCAACTTACTGCTTTACAAGTTTCAATTGGAGACAATTTTCAAACTGCATTTGACAACATCAATCGTGCAAAAGGCCGCCAAGTTGTGGATATAACTAAGGCGTATGAATGGTTTACAAAGCTTCTCAATGGAGATACTGATTTGGCCGATCAACCAAGATTCGGAAAGCCACGTGAAATTGGTGCATTGAAGTAAAATGGCTTTATGAGCGCGGAATTAATTTGCTGTTGGAGCGTTGGCAGAACTGCATCTAGACAAACAGAGAATAGTTCAATTAATGTTAATAAATACTTTAGATCACTTGGAAAAACGAATTTTTTGAATCTTTGGATCAAGCTCGGAAACTCAGTAGGAGACCTGATAGTCTTTCAAAGTAGGCTAAGCTGAACAAGTCGAATCTGACTTTATTGCGATGATGTCTTTAGGAAGTACTGAAAGGATTATGACAACGTGTCCTGCCCTCTAAAATAAATGACAATTTGGTCACTTTCTAAACAATAATGATTTCAGCTTTGACTTGACAATTATCAATGAGGAGTTCTCGTTCCAAATCTTCTTCAACGGTAAACGATTTGCCGCGTTTTCGCATCGCGGATCACCCACTGACATCAAGACGCTCGAAATTGACGGAGACGTCGAGGTGATTTATGTTTTTCAACTCTCAACGGTTGCCTTCACATATCGCAAACATAACTTTTTTGAAGAGAAGAAAATCCAACCCTGAAGAGCAGCCGATAAGTAAATGTAACTATCAGGTTGAAACGTGCTGTGAATGTAGTAAAATTTTTTTTTAAGACCAAGTCAAGCTGGTGAAAATCACTAATAGAAAATTGGGCTACAAAAATTTTTGCGCCTCATGTACGTCACCATGTTTGAAACAGACTGCCACCATGAACGACACTAGCGCGAGAGAGAAACGAATGTCGACTCTGCTGTTGCTCGCGCTACCCCTGAAGAGGGGACGTCCAAGTGTCCAAGTTTTGTCTTTTTGTGCTTTACATCTCTAAAATCAGGCTGAGGAGATTCTGAATGGAATAGAAGTGAAAGAACGAGTGGCGTCAAAAAAACGGGCGTCTTCATTGAAAACACTTCTTATTAACGCAACTAACAAAAGATAAGTACATGTATCCTATGTTGCTAGGTAACTAAAGGTCTGGGTGTTACCACACGATATAGGCAGACCTACAACATAAAAAGGTAAATTTCAAGGCGCACTACCAAGTCTACATAGTGTTTTTCAGACGAACTCAAAAGCACTTCGGCGGATTTTCTAAATATAATAACTAAAGCTTTCCTATTTCACATATAAGCAGAAAAAAATGTCATTTTTTCTATGTACTACTTCATTTGATGTCATTTCAATGTTGAATCATCATCTTTCAGAATTATTTATTAATTTTCAGATTCACACCGTCACAATCAACGATGCTCCAGGATTATGAAATCTTCTATGTATGTATATGATTTTTAGATTGTTCGACCATTAGCAGTGTATCTGTAATAAATATCCGTCACATAACTCTGCTTCCGTATTATCTATGTGAGAATGATTTGCTTTTTTTTTTGAAACATCCCGGACTGCCTTGACCCTCGTAGGCGTTGAAGGTCGTTTCTAACGCACGATTTTTTAGCGGTCTTTTTCGCTGGGCAAATCCTCTCTGACTAGAATTATAGTACTTATTCAAGAGCCTAGATCTCGGCGATTCCAATACTGCATTTGGTTTCCGTAATGGCTTTTTTAATGCCTGTAGCAGTGAAAAAAATATTTTGTTCGACATTCGGAGTACTTTGTTTGCACGACGAATGTCTGTGGACGGCTTTCTATTAGACTGCACTAATTGTCATGTACTCTCACAAATCTCGTTGATTACAAAACTAAATATGGTTTTCAAGCAAGTCTTCATATTACGCTATAGAAGTGAAACGAAAGTTACGTTTGACACTAGGAATTTTTTTCGCAGATAAGAGACGTAATATATGCACAAGAGAATATGAGCAGTTAGAGAAAATTATGGAGTATCTGAGTAATACCAAAACCCTAAAACTTTTCTTCGGTAACGATGAAAAAGCTCTTACTGAATAGTGGAAATCGCGCGCCGCTTGAAAATTGATCAAGAGCCGTTAGCGAAGGTTAGAAGAGGATTTCTTTGAAGAGTAGTATCTATGTGCACTGAAATCAATTTATACTTTACGCGGAACCCAATAAAAGTGAGCTCTTGGGTTTTTTTCTGAGACGGCTTTCTTATTGTCCACTTCCCAAAAAGGAAAACAAGCAATTGCGAGCCAGAAAAAGGCAGTTTTAAGAGTGAAACTCAGAGAACTGTTCAATTGTGAATAAACACTTTAACGTCCATACTGTGACGAGCAATCGCGCCGCAATCGCGTATGCTGTTCCGATCGGTGCTTTAAAACGTGGTCTTCATTTTCGAACTGGTTTTCATTCGTAAAATATAAGATTCGACAACTTCAAGATGTTGTCAGTTTGATTGTAAATTCGTTATCTCGATTATGTGAGCTGAAAATTTTCCAGAAAAGTGGGTTAAATGTTTATCTCAATACAATTGATCGAGGTACTATGTGGATTCGCTAGCATTCTAGTGATGGAAAACTAGGCTAACCTTTTCACTCGTACCAAAAGATTTAACATTATCATGTAAGTGAACATGAATGGCTCAAATTAGAAGATTTTCATTAGTTTTTGTTTTGCCTGCGTGGATTAGTTGCTGATTATAAGAGCCACCTTGACCAAAATCACAATAATGGGGAAAGAGCTCGTCGAGTGCTCAGAATTCCACATCCGGATTTTTTTTCATTAAAGCAGCCTGATCGTCAGCGGAGAGTTTCTGTAAACATATGTGATTCCGAACTCTACTTGCATAGCAACACTAAACATTGTTATTATCATTATTATTATTATTAATATTATTATTATTATTATTATTATTTATTATTATTATTATTATTATTATTATTATTATTATTAATTATTATCATTATGATTATGATTATTATTATTATTATTATTATTATTACTGGAACTCGTATAACTTATATTTGTTTGATTTTAATGCATCTAGACAGTGGTATAATGTTGAGATAAGCACCTGAAAAGATTCCAACCTCACGCGGGAGTTGAACTCGCGTTTCACCCTTACCAGATGAGCGTGCTACCACTATACCACCAAGACGACCGTTTCACTATCATCCTTTACAATCTTTACGACTACCTGTTAATATAATTGCCATTGTTATTTATCTGAACAATGCCTTAACAGCCGCATTCCATCGACAGGCCAATGGTTCAGATAACATTTCTGATTTCTAGTAATTGTCTGGTCCTAATATGCTGTGTCTATCCGTTCCCTACCATCTGTAAGAGTGACTGGTGACTATGTTAAGGCGCGAGACCGCCGAAACGTTCGTAAGCCACTGACATAGCAAACCACGAGAAAGTTCAAGGCACTCGTTCAGATTATTATTTATCATTGTTACAATTATTATTATTATTTGTTTCACTGGTGATTTCAAGTACTGGGTTGTCCCACAAATTCGTTTGCATTAATATTTTATTCAGTTTTTTCCTTTTTTTCGGATTTTGTAGACTGTGGTACGTTAAAACATGCTTTGGTAGATTTATCCAGTGATGTCTTGATGCGTGCTTTGACCGACCGACAACGACCACGCTGCACGCGTGGGCATCTGCAAAAGGCTTCTAGTCGACAATACAGGTGCGAGTTTCTCAAATTAATCATCACTGCTCAACCGAGGGCCAAATTTAACGTTCAGATGATTATGTCTCGGTTTTCTGGGTTTGACAGTGTGTGCTGTTTTGTGACCCACTCTGCAACAAGCAGACGATTGATACAGGCGTCTACGGCAAACAACTTCGGAAGTTGGTGGCAGCAGTGCAAGAGAAGCGTCTAAACGACTCAATGTTCTTTTTCGGGATAACGCTCAACCCTTGTACACTGCAAAGTTGAATCGGCACATATTGGAGAAATAGACTGGACCACGGTTTCACATCCACCTTGCAGTCCTGATATTGCTCCATGGGATTATCATCTCTTTGGAGCCCTGAAGCAGAATCTGCGGGAGAAAGAATACTATGACTACGACCAGCTCAAAATGGAGCTGAACGACTTCTTTGATTGCCAGTCTCGATCCATGTGGGAGGAAGGCATTAGATATTTGCCCAGCAAATATATGTATCTCATTGTTCATGCTGGTGATTATATTGATGAATGATTGTTTTCCAGATAAATAACATCTGAACTGACAAAAGTCTCGAAAAGCGATAGGACTAATGGGGCACCCGATGCATTTAGTTTATCAAATTCTCTAAGCAAAAATTATTAGCAGTGCACTGATTTGAATGATTTTGAGAACCCATAGAAATGCCTATCACTATTCTCTTCGAAAATTTACACAGAAATCCAATCGTGAGATGTTATCATGAAGTGGATTCTTATAATAGACACCGTCATAGGATTGCAGGCTGTAGTAGATCTCGAGGTTCTAACTATCGAGCTTCAGAACCTAACTATATATTCACCTAATTAACATGAAATTATATGATTTGAAAAGCCACATCTTCGTAATCAACTCCGCTTTTAGAAGGCGTAGCAATACTTTACCTGGAACTCATTGTGCAATTTGGCGGCCTCGTCGAGGCAGAACTGTTTTCCGAGAGTTATGCTGCACATTACGTGAGTGACGAAGTGGATGACCTGAATGATTTTTATGGAACAGTGAACATATTTTGTCCATAAATAATAAATACGTCCTAAAATTGTAAGAACCAGAGCAACATTAACAATATAAATCTTTTGAATAACGGAATATGTTGCTCACTTAACGCCGAACATATTTCGTTGAGTCTCCATCATTCCTAGAACATCAATAGAAAAGTGATGAGGCGAGGTAGAGCATCTGTGCTTTTACTCGGCAAGAGATTATACAACACCATAAATCCCGTTCCGAAGCAATAATGTTTACTTTTTCGAACGAAGAGCCTCCGGAATGTTATGCAATTTTAGGGATACAAAACTAAAATGGAATTTCAGTTTGCTGAATTACAGGACAGCAAATTCACCAATGAACCAATAGAAACTTTTGAATTATGAGGGGAAAATTTCCATGTCAATATACTTATTACTTTTCTAACACTTTTCGTTATGTTCAAGCAGCTATTTCACAACAAAAACAAAGTTATCTCATGGGAGAAAAACACCACAAGATTGGAGAGTCAAGAAAGAGCCATCTTGGATTTACAATGCCATATATGTGGACAACAGTCTGTTCTACAAACTAATTGACTGTTGAAATAGTACTAATAAAATGAGTCTTGTATTGATCCCAAAAAAGAAAAGGCAATGCTGGAGCGCCGGCACGCAACATGCTGCTGAGGGTAAAGCACAGATTGTGAAGATATGAAGGACCGATCAGCAAACTCATCACTTCCAATCATAACGGTTGCACAACACCGAAACAGGAAGTGAAAGAGACTCGCGCGAAGTGTCTAAAAAATGTCTGCGTTGTATAAATATGTGTATAAGCTTGTAACCAGCAATAGTGTGTAGCGTAAGTGTTCGATTAGTTTGAACAAATCCTCATTAAGCAGCAAGTCTCACGAGAAGTGGTTTGCATTTGACACTCATTTTATTTATTCAAACGACTCGTAGTCAGATGCAATTTAGATCTCAGCTTTTCGCCTTTTTGCACCCACTCACATCGACATTTAGTTTCGCACACCGCTTACTTGAGTATTTTGTTCTGTTCATGAACATCGTTGAGCGCGTTTGAATCATATCTACTGAGACAACTCTGACAGATAGTTCCCCAGCCTGTACCCACCACAAGCTATTCGCGGACGGGGTGGAAGTTTCTCCAAGACACCTGGCTCCATTTTTCCGAACACACAGAAACTTGGTTAGCCTAGGATGTGATTAAATAAGTAAATATACTGCGCGTAGCGCATGGCTCTTCTGCTTTTCAAGAGCCTTTGATGTGTAACCTATACTGTTAAAGGTGTGGGGTTGGCAAGAGATTCGCGGACTTTTTCGTTTTTGGTGACTATATTTTATGCATTTGAGTTTTCGTTTTCACCAGCGTTCAGGGCAGCTTCTTGCGGTCATTTTGAGATAGATCACTAATACATTTGTTCTAAGATGGAATTTTTCCAAAACCAAAAAGATTGCTGATGCTACAGAAGTATTGTTTGGGTTCGAGTGCTGTTTTGGCACGCAACGACACTCGTTCAGCATGAACAAACGTTTTTGCTGTCAGGACAATTCCATTTCGAAACAAATGTGTAAGTATTATATATCAAAATACGCAATAAGCGCTCTAAGCGATAGTAAAAACAAAAACTCAAATGCACGAAAATCAATCAATAAAAATAAAAAAAACTAAATTTTCTTGCCAACCCAGTATGAACAAGACATATGATTTATGGAAAGAAGATGACTAGAAAAGCTTATAAAAACATATCTTGATAGAGGATATACTACAATGTTTTCTATACCATCACTCAGTATAATTATTCTTACTAAACAATAACCAACCTGATGGATTCAAAGCGCTTTTCAGATCATTTGAGTATCAAAAAATCTGCCAGTTCAAATCACCGCATGAAATAAAAAATTTTTCTCATAAAGCTCTCCATTACATAAGCAGCACATATTGTGAAATTATAATGGCTTTGAATGCACTAGAGGTGAAAACTTGCAAAGACTCGTATTGGAAAAATCACAATGCTTCGGTCCCTTCTATGAAACAGCTTCAGTAAAGTGCTTTGTCAATTGAGAAAGAAAGCAACGCATCGAGTTCTGGAGTAATCTTAAGCGCAGTTCTATCACCTACTCAAATAAATCTTAACGTAGCCCATCTTTACAAAAGTGTCGTCCTGAACATGTTCTGAGTTGATTCTCTCTTGCTCTAATGAGATTCATGGTCGGTTAGCTACGAACACATTATGTTACTTTGAGCTGAACACACAAGCGTACCTAATATAGATGATTACTATTGCATATGCCAATATCTTCTCAACGAAGCAGTTCTGTTTTTCTTGTTAAGCTGCCGTCAGCTGTACTCAGCATGCAGATCTCATCTTCATTTCTTTTTCACTGTGTATTCCACCGTATCTCGAAGATAAGGTGGTTTTTAAGATAATTAGTAGCTTACTTCACCGGGAAGTGGCATGAGTCGATTACATTTCAAAAAAAACCTTTATGCAATCTTTGGATATTCCGTAAAGTTTTCGGCGTGGATGACAACGTGGGTTCTTCATGATTTTTTGTTTCCTCCTAACCCATGCGCAGACCTACTTCATTCAAATCACTCTAGTTTCATTAACTATATATTATATTTTATATTTTATACAATAAATTATGCTAATAAGCATTTCTGGAAAGATGATGTGTTGCCATTGAGACTCATCAAATTGCAAAATTAAAGGACTCGTTTGAACGAGATATTACACTATGTTTCTGAAGTCTTTACAATTCTGAAGACGATGAAATATTGCATGAAAAGCTAATTTTATTAGTTTTTGTTGTGAGATATCTATCCTTCCAAGGTTGTTATTTTGAACTTAGTGACTTAACTTAGGCTGTGATTAGATTCAGTACTGACGGAGTAGCTTACTGTCGTTATACGGCGTAAGCTGTAATTGTAACGGCCGACTCCGATAAGAACATATTTTGGCGGGACAATTAGAAAAGTAAGAAGATAAAAAAATTAAGATTATTAGAAATGAGAAAGCTTTTTTCTCATATTAAGATATTGAAGTGCATTCAGATTCACTTCTTATGAAGATACTACTGAGGTTTCTATTAGATGTAACTGGCAGGTACAGTATGCCACCTTCGCACCGTATACTTGCTGTACACTTCAAATTGAATTCAAACACTTCAAGTTGGAGTTAACTAGTATCTTCCAGAAGAACATCCAGCATTTTCGCTGTAATCATTGTGATCAACTGCTAACGGGAAATTGCATTGGACATTCACCTTTTTGCTGTATTCGACAGCAGCCGGACTAAGTCCATCCAAGCGAGCGCAGTTCTCGGTCAGCACGACTCGCATCCGCATGCCAAGCTCGGGCGACTTAGCCGTGACGGCGTCGATCATTTCGCCAATCTCATCGAAACATGAGTGCTTGTTGAACACCTTGAAAAGCCCAATTTTCT